CCCCGACATACGCCATATCGGCAGCAGGGAAATGGGACTCAGCAGTGAAGTGTTAATCCGGGGTCTGGAGAAGCGACCCGGCGAAGCCATCGCCAACTAGCAGCACCGTGGAATAAGAAACTAATGAAAGACGGACTTCATTGAATCCACATTCGCTGTGCTCATTCACGCTTGGATCATTCGCTTCCTGATGAAAGTACATCCATCCCCATGAGCATTTTGCGCGTTTATGTGTTTGCTCACGCCAAACAATGGAGCAATAGTTTATTCGTACTTGTCGATGGACTCTTGAGAAGCTAGGGAACGGAGCTATGAGCCATATAAAGTGTATACGCCGCTGCTGAAAAGCGCGTCAGGAGCACTAACCGAACTTGTTTAGGTTATCATCACCGGAACGGCTCTTACAAAGACTCCGTATTTGGTTGTTCTCCGCGAGGGCATTTTCACAATACCGCCTGCCTGGCGGACTGCGATTTTCGCTAATTTTGGCCGGAGGCCATTCTCATTCGTTTTGCGATGGCAATCCGTAAACACCTTATGCTCTTAGCTAGTATTCTTGTACTCTGGTAAGATTTACAATGCGTTCAAAAGTGAACTTACTCTTCTCCGGGTCCGGCAGCATCTCGCTGCGGCGTCGAGAGTTCCGCCTGGAGCAGGTCCCGCTCGGAAGCATCCTCGCATGGACAGTGTACGCGCGCTTAATCGGCATTTTGTACGTCTCAGTCGACTGTCGCGAGCCGCCGACATTCAGCGACGGAATAAGGACAGTGAAGAAAGACACGTCGCAAAAACACGGTGGTGTACACGAAAGCTGCCAATACTTTTCGGGGTCGCTAGGGGCCGGCCCAGGGCGTCAATGCGAACGCGATTAGTAGCGACGGCGCCACGGAACGTTCCATTCGCGGCGCGACGGCGCTTGAAAGGCCGACGTTCCCACGAGAGACGGCGGGACAAATAAGCCCTTTATTATCTCGAAACCCTTTGTCCTCTTAATTCGAAGGAGGGGAAACTCCTGCAAATAGATGGCCGACTTGAGGAGGCTTTTCAGAGTGAAAGTGCGCGGAAGAAGTGCAAGCTCGACCACTCCCACAGTATAGTTTGGAATTGATCCTTCCTGGGCGAATTAACGAATCTATGGACCTCCGGATGTTGAGAACGGCTCTATCAATCAGTTTCATTCGGGGTAGTCTTTAGAAGGGACATTTACCTAGGTACATTAATGTTGGCGTTACTCAACAAGGGGTCTTGCAAGCACTGAACGCTGCGGTCATCACGTCCTAGGATGTAAACGCAAAGTCTTTTGGTTCGAACTGACTTGAACAAAAGGCGAAACCAGAGGTAGGACACCTACCCGGTAAAGAAATTTCGGTCGTGCTAAAAATGACCTTCGCCCCGTTTGTATAAGAGGATACTGACCCAAAAATACAACCGTTTGCTTGCATCCAGTACCTTCGGAGATTTTCAGCTTGCAACTCTACTACCGGAACAAATTTCAACGTTACCTTTGCACAGATCGACAATTACCTATGCCCGAACTGGGAGGATAACCAAACGACGCTAGCTTGCTACTTCTGTTTACTTTCCATTACGCGACGAATAATTTGGCACGAGGGTCACCCTACGAACTTGTTCTTTTTGGAGCATGCTACGCACGAACTTGCAAGCACGCGTGCACTTAGTGGCGGACGCACTGAAGCGTTCGGATATGATCGCCTATCGTTGTCTTCTTCGCGTTTTGCAAAGACGAAACTTTCTGAGGATGGTAATGAGGAAGCATAAAGCTCGCTATGTGTAGGACGGCAGGGCACCCACGTCGCACAAGACAGAGCCTCAGACGCAATCAACCGGTAGAGCAGTAGTTTCTCGATGAAATATAGAGCACAAAGGGGCAAATACCAAGCAACCGGGCTACGTTTCAGCTCACAAATGAACTAGAGCTGTGACGCAAGCAATGCCATGGCGGATGAGCTGTAGGGCTCATCCGTCACGCAAAAAGCGGGCCCACCTCAAGCGGGCTTCCGCCCTACCACCGGTTGCGGTCCGGATGCCTTCAGGCTGTTTGCCGATGAGCTTTCATCGTCCTGCCAACGTTGCGTAAGCTGATTGCCGCTCCCCCGGGATTCGTATAGTCTCTTCTCGGCCCTTGGCGAAGCTTGAGTGGAATGGAATTTGCCTGGCAGCCCTCCATTGGCTTTGTTTTTACGCAATCTAACGCGGTTCAGAAAAGAAGGAACCTTTTTAGAGAAGTGTTTCTGCGGTAAAAAATAACTAAAATTTACTGCAACTTTGTGCATTCATACACTGATGCTCATCTGCGTTTTAGGAAGATGCAGAATTTTGCTGCGCTTAGCTTGTGCTAAGGCATTTGCGCTACGCTGGGCGGTGGCGAGGGTAAGACTACGGTTACCCCCCCCCCCCTGTACAAACCTACAGGGGGGCGGGTAACCGTAGTACAGCCGTGGCGAGGAACGTAAGCACATGCAGCTCACGAAACGAATACGGTAATAGGTCATGCAATCGAGGTATCGCGAAATTAGGTATGCTAGCCAAAAAATTAAAGCTGAAGACACGAAGAACATGGGTCGAGGCTTGCCACGGTTAACGTCACACAAAAGTGTGCAGTAGGAGCTGCACGCGGATGCAACAGATTTTCAGAATGCCTCGGGATAAACGACTTTTGGCTGCTGCGGCTGCCGCTCCTTCAAGAGTATACTAAAAACTCGTGGCAACCCTTATGGAATGGCTTAGCTCCAGGCTTTGACGGCCATAGATTTGCTAGCTATTGGTGCTAAAGTAGAAAGGTTCCGTTGCAGGCACGACTCCGCCAACGAAGTGGATTCGAACACCCTTTAATGCCAAATGCGTTGATCCAGAAGAATCTGAGCTTGGGACCATTGGACGACACAAAAAACGTAGCTGACACCAGAGTTTAAAAGTTTTGTAGGGATGCGATTAGCCAGGTCTGCACCGTGAACCTTTAGCGGCGACGAGGAAGTTCAGTGGAGCATTATGATGCGATATATGCGTTCCTGACACCTTGGCGTCTACCCGCTGGCTGCGAGGGGGGTGCTTGTCGCATTCGACGACAAGGTCAACGCAGCCTTCGCAGGGGGACAGCATGTGCCCTTAACGACTCCCCGGAGACATATGCCGCTATGTGGACACTAACGCAGGCTTAAAACGCGATGAAGCGCGTAAACATTGGACGCCACCGGCGGTGAAAAACACAGCGATATGGCAGCGATAAACGCTGCCCAAAAACTACTTGGAATCACAACGACACAGCAAGTGCATGGCGCCAGATGGGTGGGCCATATGGAAGGATAAAAAAAATAACAAAGCATGAATTGGGGGTAAAAACTTCGTGAAAGGCTGACATCGAATAGTCTTTGAAGGGTCGAAGATAATGCAGTCGGTCAAAAGCAAGCAGGAGAAAAAAGTCTGACATGTCCCTGGCAGCAAGTCGTGGATGCCTAGGTCATGCCGCGAATCTAGCGGCATAGAACCTGCACTTTCTCTGCAATGAAGCTTCCGGCAGTGATCTGGGTTCTGGAACTAATGCGGTAATCGGCTCAAGCCGACTACCCGTTATCGTCGTCAAATGTTAAGTCCGCTCATTACACATTCGTAATGGTAAACGACTGAAGCTGTTGTGGGTAATGTCAGACGGACCGTCGTAGCTGGGCCTGCCCGGTAACAGAAAAACTTTCAACCGATATTCAGAGAATTTTACTGGTACAAAGAGTAGGAAGTCAGAGAAAATCTCATCAAGTCTCAGGCTCGTCATGCGAATTCGCATATGCGAAGGCAGAGAAGCGCGAGAGCATATCGCTGGGCATAACTTGATGTGGTAGCAGCGTTCAAGGTGAAGGTAATGCTTCAGAGCCGCGGTTGCCCAGCGGCTCAGCCAACAAAATGTAATTTGCGACGGTGTGTCGTATAAGTCAATTAAAAGCTGGAGTATGTTAGCAGCACTTAGCTAACCACCGCGTCCCTAAAAGCCGAAAGCGGCGAGTGGTACTCGGGCAAAGTTCAAAGTCGCACGTAGGCTGAAGGATTCCAAACTTCAGCGTAATCCACATTAGCGAGAAATTAGCGGGACATCGAAGTTCCTCCTTGCGTGTCTAGCAGACACTAACATAGCAGGCGCAGACGCCCGCGACCTCCATAACGACCTCTTCGAAAGTTTCGGTAAGTCGTCAAAGGCGAACAACGGAGCATGCAAGTGCTTGGATGCCTTAAGTAAATTCCGTTTCACGTAGAGAACGGACTATCTTATTTCCCGATTTTCTTGTTCGCCGGGATAGTACACGTGGTGAAATATTGAAATCGAATTTCCGAGCTTACTAAAAACCGGCTACAAATCCCTCCGTCGCTGACGAACTAGCAGTAAATAAGAATTCGCCGCGAATGGAGAACTCGAATGCCATCCGTTGTGCGGGTGGCAGCCAGTCAAACAAGACCACTTTAATCCTTTTCAACATGAAATATTGCTGTGCCTTTGAGACGCCGCTAACCAAAAAAAAACAATGCCAACGAAACGATATCAAAGCTGAAGCATAGTATAGAAGTCTTTAGAGAGGAAAACAAATATACAAAGCGTTATACGGTTGAGGTAACCATCTATCCTTCTGTTTCGAACATAGCACGCATTTCGTTTGTACCAACAATGCACGATATTTAAGGCTCCGTTTTATGACTCCGTACTCATCGCCGTTGAGACCACTGGACGCTGGACCTTTGTAGATATTTTCCCTGCCAAACATGCAGCAGGCAGAAGCGCGTTTGTCCAAGTCCGCTTACGAACTCTGTCAACGTTTGTAAGGCAAAATGTTAGCATATGCGAAACTGAGTTCTCGAGTGGAAAAGAGCTTTACGAAAGTGCTCAACGTACCAGCTTCTTAGATTCGTCCTCAGTTTCCGTGAGTAAACAGACAGTGCTAAGCGCTTTTCTATCTGCTCAAGGGTTTCCACCGCTAGCAAGCGTTCGTTTGGATAAACATTTCGTGGCGCAGCGGCAGCGCACGTGGTGCGTGAACCGAGCGACCCGGGTTCGACGCCCGGCGGGCGGCGAAGAGAGTCATCTGTCCATTAGGCCGCGATTTTTGGACAGAGTTACGTTCTTCGCAGAGCACGCGTCGTCCATGTCTCGTTTGTCGTTCGCCACCATAATGGCGGAGGTCATCCAAAACGTGGATGTCACTTTTTGCTCACCATTGGGTTGCACAAAGCACAGACGCGTGTATGTCGAATGCTAACAAAGACTGCACATTGGCTGAAAATTTGTTTTGCAACCGCATTTGGGCTATTACAACATGTGTGAAGTGGAAGTATGTTTCACGGCAACTTTGCTACACCGCTAGCTGGGAACGAAAAAAGTTTGTGTGTGAATGGAAAGCGTTTGTCTCATCTTAGACTCTCGACGGGCGTGGTCCAACTAGTAGCGCCGATAAGACGAGGAAGTTCGGACAAGCAATAGAAGCGTACGTACTCCGACCTCACGACAGAGCTGAAAACGGCGCGAACGCATTTCGTGCGTGATTAGGTATTAGAAAGTGTGTACCTCACGCCCAGTAGCGCTGGCGAACCGATAAGACATACGCTGTCACTGATCCATGTGTATTGGGTTGCAATGAACGAATGAAGTGTGAAGTTGCGAGACACTGCCGAAAGAAAGACGCCCACATGGCAGGCCGCGAGTAGTACGTGAGCACAAAGAGTGACGAGCGTGCTTACTAAATGCGGGCGTAAACCGACAAGACCTCGTTATGTGAATTACTTAGCAGCCGGATGTCGTTGCGAAGCGATGCATTTGCTTGGTACTGATTGAAGGATCCAGGTTTGGGCAATAATATTTTGCGCACTTTTACGACGACTATCAGGTCCAGTAGGAGGCTGATTGTCGTTGCGATGACGATAGCTATCGCGCTGACTGCAGAGCTCACCTATAAAACCATGTCAACGTCCGAATCCTGATAACAGAGGGGAAAGAGCTTAGGCGCACTGTTCTAGAGCTTAGGCCCACTATTTCTAAAGCTTAAGCCCACTATTCTTGAGGTTAGGCTCATTTTTCTCGATCGTAGGACCACTGCTTAGGCTGAGGCTGAGGGCTGTTTGGCTTTGGGCTAGGAAGNTGCACGGCAAAAACTACTTGGAATCACGGCGACAGAGCAAGTGCATGACGCCAGATGGATGGGACATATGGATAAACGAAAAACAACAAAGCTTGAATTGCGGGTAAAAACTTCGTGGAAGGCTGACATCGAACTGTCTTTGAAGGGTCGAACATAATGCAGTGGGTCAAAAGCCTAGCAGAATAATAGTGGTATACAGGGTAGGTAGTCGAGAAAAGTCTCATCAATTCTCAGGTTCGTCATCCGAATTCGCATATGCGAATGCAGAGAAACGCGGAGCATATCGCTGGGCATAACTCGACGTGGTAGCAGCGTTCAAAATGAAGGTAATGATTCAGAGCCGTGGTTGTACAGGAGCTCAGCAAACCAAATGTAATTTGCGACGGTGTCGTATAAGTCTGTTAGTGGCAATTCGCTAACGCACAGCGTCCCTAAAAGCGGCAAGTGGCACTCGGACAAAGTTCAAAGTCGCACGTCGTTCTGATTCCAAACTTCGTCGTAATCCACAGCGACGAGGAATTAGCGGGACGTCGAAGTTCCTCCTTGCGTGCCTAGCAAGCACTAACATTTCAGGCGAAGACAGCACCGAACTCCATAATGACCTCTTCGGGCTTTTCGGTAACTCGTCAAAGACTAGCGGAGCTTGTAAGTGCTTGGGAACGAATACGATAATGTCTCAGTAAAGTTTATTTTTCGCGTTTCTCGGATTTTAACCAAATAAAACCCGAAATGGAAGAAGAAAAAAACTCTGATTCCCAATGTAGTCTCGATTGTCACTTAGAGATGAGCTTGTCGGCTAAGATAGTACACGCGGCGAAATATCGAAACCGATTTTCCGAACTTGCGTAAAAATCGACCATAAATGCCGTCATCTTTGGTGAACTAATAAGAAACAACATTCGCAGCGAATGGAGAACTCGAATGTCATTCGTTGTGCGGGTGGCAGCCAGTCAAACAAGACCGCTTTAATCCTTTTCAACATGAAATATTGCTGTGCCTTTTGAGACGCCGCTAACCAAAAAAATAGTCCTCCCAAACGATGTCAAAGATGAAGGAAATTTTGGTAGCCTTTTGAAAGAAAAACAAATATAAAGAGTTGTCCGGTTTACGTAACCACTTATTTTTACGTAACCGTAACGAAACAGTTACGGTTTACGTAACTGTTTCCACCAAAACACACATTTAGTTTTAGTTTTTGACGGCAGTCCACGATACCCGTATGAAGTCGTTAAGGCTCCGCATTATGGCTCCGTATACGTTACCCTCGAGGCAACTAGACCCAGGACATTTGTAGATATTTTCCCTGCCAAACATACGCCAGGCAGGAGCACGTTCGTCAACGTCCACTTACGGATTCTGTCACGTTTGTAAGGCTAAAATGTTGCCATATGCAAAACTGATTTCTCGAATGGAAAAGAGCTTTACGAATGAGCTCTACGTAGCAGGTTCGTCGTCAGTTTCCTTGAGTAAACAGAAAGTGCTAAGTGCCTTCTCAGCCGCTCCAAACTTTCTAGCGCTAGCAAGCGTTCCTTTGGATAAACATTTCGTGGCGCAGCGGCAGCGCACGAGAAGCGTGAACCGAGCGACCCGGGTTCGATGCCCGGCGGCGAAGAGAGTCATCTGTCCATTAGGCCGCGATTTTTGGACAGAGTTACGTTCTTCGCAGAGCACCCGTCGTCCATGTCTCGTTTGTCGTTCGCCACCATAATGGCGGAGGTCATCCAAAACGTGGATGTCACTTTTTGCTGCCCACTGGGATGCATAAAGCACGTACATGTGCCTGTCGAATGCTAACAGTGACTGCTCGTTGGCTTAAGATTTGTTTTGCAAGCTCATTTGTGATATTACAACATGTGAAGTGGAAGTGTGTTTCATGGCAACTTTGCTACACCGCAAGTTGGGGGGGGGGGAAGGGAAAAAGCATATGTGAATGGAAAGCGTTTGTCTCATCTTAGACTCTCGACGGGCGTGGCCCAACTAGTTGCGCCGATAAGACGCGGAAGTTCGGACAAGCGATAGAAGCGTACGTACTCCGACCTCACGACAGAGCTGAAAACGGCGCGAATGCAATTCGTTTTTTTGTACATTTTACGATTTATAGTTATGCGTCATTATGAGAAAGTGCCTACCTCACGGCCAATAGCGTTGGCGAACCGATAAGGCAGACGCTGTCACTGATCCACGTGTACTGGGTTGCAATGAACGAATGAAGTGTGAAGTTGCGAGACACTGCCGAAAGAAAGACGCCCACATGGCAGGTCGCGAGTAGTACGTGAGCACAAAGAGTGACGAGCGTGCTTACTAAATGCGGGTGCAAACCGACATGACTTAGTTATGCGAACTACTTAGCAGCCGGATGTCGTTGCGAAGCGATGCATTTACTTGGTACGGACTGAAGGCTTCTTTTTTGGGCAGTAAGTACTTCCGCACTTTCACGACAACTGTCAGATCCAGTAGGAGGCTGACTGTCGTCGCGATGACGATAGCTATCGCGCTAACTGCAGAGCTCAGCTGGAAAACTATGTCAACGCCATATAATTGCATTTTAATTAGATGCGATCGTATATACCTACTAGTGTTTGGAGGGGTTAGGTCCGTAGGAAAACGTGTGTCTCTCCCGTTTGGCCGACACCTTTCTATCGGTAAAACTTAAATCCGTGATTTTATTCTGTGAAACAGCTCCCAGTTTTCATTCAATTTAGTCGTAGGCTCATGCTCAGAGCTTAGTCCTACTAACTCTATAGCTTGGTCCCACTGTTTCCAGAGCCTTAGCCCACTATTTCTAGAGCTTAGGCCCACTTTTCTACAGGTTAGACCCACTATTCTAGAGCTTAAGCCCACTTTTATAGAGCTTAGGCCCACTGCTTAGGCTTAGGCTGAGGCCCAGCGCTGCTTGGCTTTGATTCAGGCATAGGTTTAGGAAGTGCCTCTCCGCGATGCGGCGACCTAGTTTATGCCAGGTTTTCACAGATCATTGAAAAATAAAGCATTTTTGTCGGCTAGTTGTCGCTTAATATCACACTTGATGAGTATGTCTGTCGTTGACTAGAACCGATTCGAAACATACCAGCGTGTATTGCCTTGGCATAAACGCAAGGGTGTAGAGCCCGTCGACTGCTTTTACGTAGTGGAAGTCTTTCCCGAAACGAACGGACACCAATGGGACGGGCAGAAGGAGACTGCCGAGCACGGATAAAAACAAGTATTTACCTTGCCACAGCTGAACCCTGTTGTATCTCTCTTAAGGTGAGGGACTCGAGCACATACCTTGTCGTGCTTTAGAGGAAACATGAACACTGTGAAACGATTTGCCGACATCAGCACATGGCCCAGAAACTGACACAGTTCGATGTACGCTTCTCCGACTTGGTCGACATGGCCCAGCCAGCGGTTTCCCTCATACAGCCCAGGGAAGTAGCCGCATTCTCTTAGTCGATTTGTAAGATACATCTTGATTCGACACTTTATGGTCGAATGAAAGAGACTTAATTACCAGGACAACCTGGAGCACGTCGAGCGTCGTTACGACGCAGAACAGGACGTAGAAGCCGGATCGAAACTCCTTGGATCCGATAGCCATGGCATGACCGACGCAGACCAACATGGATACATGGAAAAACGTTCCCGGGATATCGACAACGCTCATCAACGCGTTGATGCCACAAGACATTGAGGGATCGAGGCAGACAACAATGCTCTGTAAAACATACAATTCCAAGGGAAACTGGGAAGGAGCCGCGGTAAGGACATCTACATTACCGCGGCTCATACCAAACGTCTGATGTGCCGTAAAGGGGCACTGACTGGAATGCTACGAATGTTGACAATGTTGGCATGCTTGTGCGTTGGTCTAATGAGCGAGGAATGCGACGACTGCCCACCCAAAAAGCTGACTGTCAAGGAACTGGTTTGACCAAAATGTTTGCGATGATGTTCGC